TTTATGTTTGATACTACAGTATCAATATACACAGTATTGGTTTTCAATACTTTCTTTTAAACTGAAAAGGAAATGCTTAGAATAATAGAAAATTTATAAGCATGGTGTGCCCTCTTTTTTATTGTCATTCAGCAGTTGTTGAAGAACAGCAATTTAACATTTTCCTGGAGGGAGAGCATTAGTTTGTTAATTAAGTTGTAGGTTTTGCATATAACTGCTCTTTGTTACTTCTGTAACAATTCTACACTTGAAAGGCATTATCTTTGCACTGAGGTCAGATAAAAAGGAAAGGTTGCTCATGCAGATCAGTCTGCTCCGACAGTGAACAATGAAACTTGCTTGCTTTCTGTTCAGTTTAGTTCCTAGAGCCTATATTTGCTTTACAGTTATATTTTCTGAGGTGCATAAAAAAGCAGTTTTGGCATAAAGTAATTTTATAATGGCTAATCTTCAGCACAGCCTCCCAGATTATGCAAATGGCAGTAAAATTATTACTTTGTGACTTTTGTATACACAGTAAAATTACAGATGCATTTTCATCTTTGAAAGGAGAAAACAATGTTTAAACTAAAATCGTATAGGATGGACTGCAGAATGATACTCGGTTATTTCTTGTGGGTCAGAACAGCTGTTCATGTGTTTGAACAGCTATGTCTGTTTCAGTATAATTCTGTAAAATTGTAAAGGAAATGCATGCTTGATTTTGGTATTATAATTCTTGATAACTGTCTTATCAGTGTTGGGTGCTGTGGCCTACTTCAAAACTTTTTAAATAAAACTATGTTTCTGTACAGCTGTATGTTAGAAATCTAATTGAAGAAGGCAGGTTTTAGGTACTGAACCTACTAGTAGCTACTACTTGGAAAAATAGTAATTTTATTTTGCTACATCTTAATCTTAACTCCCTCTCCCACTCTTTTTTTTTCTTTATCATAGCAGTGACTTCCTGCCCAGTACTAAATAAAAGCCGGTTGTAATCATGGCCTGTGAATGGCTTGAGGTTCAGCATTCTTTCCTCTTCTGTGTCAAGTTCTCTGTCCCCACCACTGTGGAGCATTTTGTTTTATAGAGGATAATGAATAGTGAATTGTTGATCTTCTGAAATGCCCCATTGGATCTTTCCGTTAAGAGCTCTGCCTTGCTAGGGCTGAAATCCAGTGCTTAGCATTTTGTTAGGTTTAAGGACTGTATTTATGTAAGGCTAGGCAATATCTGCTGCACTTGACAGTGAATTTGCATGATGAGTGTTTTGATGGAGATAAAAATCTTAACCTTTATTTCTGTGTATATCCTACATAGATTTTTCTTATGTCTTAAGTATGTATTTATATATATGTACGCATTTTGAACTTAACATCACATCTGTGTAAAAAAATACATTATTTCAGTCCTTTCATCAAGATTTTCAGTTATTACTGAGGGAGATGTGATTTAAGTATCCCAAACCAGAGTTTGCTTCTTAATTGCTTTACTAGAATGAATGCACAAAATTTAATTTTAATATGAAAAATTCCATCATCTTTGGAAAAATTTTAACTGGTTTTCAGTGGGAAAATCTAGTTGAATACTTAAAGTAATTTTAAATTGGTCAGAATTTCAAATCTGCTGGAGCAGATGCAGTTTGGACAATTATTTTCACAACTTGTTTCCCCATTTCGCAACCTGTTACACTGCAAGAACTTCACTGGGTCAAGTGTCAGTTCTTCTGAGCCTGCCCTTGTTCATAACAGCTGAAGACAGCTCTATTTCTCTGGGACAATGAAGCACATAGTTTTCAGGATAAAACTTGCACAAGCTTGAAATGAAGCATTTGTGCTGCATGCTTCTTTAACAATGATAGAAGCTAATTTTAGGAGAAATGATTGTTCAGTGTATACCAGCGTCAGCTTTTGCAATCACCTATCAACAGTGACGAAGGACAAGAAATCACTTGCCCATGAAAGACACAAGAAGACAAAAACCCCCCAAAACCCAAAGTAAGAAAATAGCAATATGATGTAAACTGGAAAATGGAAAGAAACTTAAAAACTAGATTTAAGTTCTACAGCATATAAATGTCGGAAAAGAAATATTCTACATAGAAAAGAAATATTCAAAACCTCCTCTAAGTCCAGACTGCATCTGATTCAGGTGGTTCATTATCCAACTTCATCTGTTTTATGGCTTTATCCTAATCTTGATGTCAAATACAGTCACTACAAGGCTGCACATTTACTGCCAGATGATCTCCTAATCTGATTTTTGTTTTGGTAGAGTTAGTTTTCAGCTGGATCAGCTCCCTAATCCAGCTTGTTGAGCAGTTGCATGGGAAATGTTGAAGTATGCCAGGAGAGGGAAAGAGCAGGACTGCCTTGTTTTAAAAGCAGGCCATGCTTAGCTCAAATTAAGTACAAATAAAATTTTGCATCTCCATGCTAAATTGTGGAAAAATCAGTAGATAATTAATTAACCTGAAAATTTTGAGTGGGATGCAGTTCATTACTTGTTCTTGAGATGTGTGTATACTGCTTTAAATCATAAATTGGTAAAACTTTTGTTGCTTTAAAAAAAAAAAGCAGATAAACTGAAGCTCAGTATTCAGGTTTTTCATTTACTTAATCTGTGCGCAACATTTTCTGTCAGTGGGCTATGAACTATTTGATCGCAGCAGTATACTTCATGCTAATGTAACTTACTTGTTCACAGTATTTTGGCTACTTTGCCATTGTGGTTCAGCATGTTCTGGAATCCATAATCTGTTAGTGGCTATCATGATGTCCTTTCTTTCTGAAAGAAAGAAATAAACTATGCCACATTTTCAGGCTTATATGAACAATTGAATATTTGATAAGTTGCTGTTGCAGAAGGCTTTCATGGTGCTTATATTTTCATCTGTGAACTTTCCTCCTCAGTCCTTTTTTTATTTTCAGCTATATAGCAAGTCATGTCCTGGAAGATGTTCTTTAATGAGTTGATGCAATTTACTAATTCAGTAGAAAATATTACAGTTTTCTGCAAATTCAGTAAATGAACTGAAGGAGGTGTCCAGCTAGTATGAGCAGAGTGAGTGTCTTACAGGACCCTTGGCCAGGAGAAGGGCAGGGGGCAAAGGGAAGCAAGATCCTTCTGTCTTTGATGGTGGTGTGTTATTGTATCAGCCCACTGAATCAGGCAACTGTGATTACTGTCAGTTCACAACACTTATTTTGTGGTATATTGCAGTATTCTGGGTGTTACTTGTACTGTCTTCTCCTAAAGATCAGGTCTTACCCTTCCTATCTATTGTGGTCAAGTGGCACAAAACCTATGAATAAGTCTCATTAATAAGTATGAAATAAATTGCACTTACTTTGATGTAATTGATAATTCTAATTTATAGTTAGAAAACTACTTGAGAGGATTCCAACCACTCCCTTTTATGGACAAACATAGGAGAAGTTTTATATTGAAAAAGATACAATTATAACTAATTGTATTTAAAAATCTGATTTTGCTTCTTTAAAATATATTTCTGTTTATTATTGAAAATATCCAGAAGAGATGCAAGACAAGGCAAACATCCTTTACCTCCAAGTACAAGAAGGGACTATAAAAGGGTCCTAAAGCTTTACTTAGTATAACATTGGTAGCAAGTAAAGGATGAAGTTTTCAGTTGTACCTCTCATGCAATCACAGTAGCTTTTCTCTTGTCTGCACAGAATCAAAATTTCACCCAAAGTATTGAGGACCATCATGATTAGCTGCTCTTGCTTTACAAGTCAGAGAATGTGACTGGAGTTTCAAACCTAGGATAACCCATGGGGTTATCCTATATATATTGTCAGAGAAATTTTGCTTTGTCAGAGGCTAAGTTACCATGACTCAGGTGATGACAGGTAACTGGCAGTCATGCAGGAATTTGATTGAGAGTTTGAGCCCTTAATAATATATTTATGAATTACATAACTTCTTGATGTAATGGCATATGGCTTTTGGAAAGATGCATTATTTTTATATAAAGACTCAAAGAGATGGATAATGAACTTCCTTGTCATACAAATCTTTCAGTTACCTAATTAAAATAAGCGTCTTATTTCTAATCTGAAGTTTTCTAGCTCTGCATTTTCCCTTTGAATTTTTTATTACTTTGTTTCTCGTTTACAGAGGTTTTACCTTTTTGCATTTTATAGGCCCATTTTAACCATTAATAATTTTATATTTTATTAGATATTTTAATAATAATTAATTACAAAGCTTTTCTGTCATAGCTGTTTTTGTTTACACTTAGCTACCTTTGAAATGTAGCTTAACATTCCACTATACTGCATATATATTAATAAATTTATATATAATTATTATTATTATTATTATTATTCATATAGTTTTAAAGCTGAGGTAGGATTTTTACTAAGTCTCAGTCTCACATTACTTTAAATTACAACAGCAGAGGTTCCTCTTTTGGCTGAACTTACGCTCTAATTAAGAAGAGCAAGAAAAATTATGTTCAGGTTGTTTAACAAGTCTGCTGTTAATTGTTTTCATTTTCCAGGAAAAAATTTAGCTAACAGCTTTGTGGTTTTTTGTTTGTTTGTTTTGAGGTTTTTAAAAATATTTGTAAATTAAGTATTTGGTTGCATTTCCCAGTTTCTCACTAAGGGGGATGTGTAAAAAGAAAGAAAATAAATCCTTACCTCTACCCACTAAACCCCTACTCTTACAGAAAAGGAGAAGGCAAAATAATCTCAGAATTGCATCAGAATCTGAAAAATGTACCTTTTTTTGTCCTAAATAAATCAGTATAGTAATTTTTTTGACAAAATACATTCATAGTATTTTTTTTTCCTTGACTGAAGAGCATCCAAGTCACAGTGAGTAACACAGTAGATTTTTTACTGTGTTCTGTTAAGTGAGTTGTTATTCTTACTAACAATAAATACTGATAGTACCTGATAGGAAAATTAATCCCAGGCTGCAGAATAAGCTTAGTAGAGGATTTAACTTTATTTGTTTATCTTTTGCATTTTTTTTTTGTTGATTTTTAGTCTGAAATTTGGTGACCACGAGGCCATAATACAGTTGGGTAAGGTAAGAATATGCTATAGAGAAACACACAGCAGACACTGTGCTTTTAATGATGTAATACTTAAATAGCCTAATATTTAAATGCCTAAGAGAAAAATATCTCTTACTGTGCTTTCATGATAATAACCCTGCTGTGCATGTGGGGTTTTCTTGTTGTTGGTTTGTGCTTGGGGTTTTTATGGTGTTGGTTGTTTCTGCTTTTTTAATTTTCATGGCATTCATAGCAAGATATATACTGCAGTGAATTAATATTTGGGCTTAAAAGCTGTTCCCTGAGCAGAACAATATTTGCAGTTTTCATACCAGTTTTAGTGGAAATCAGGTTTTAAATAACTTCCCTCTACAGATGTATTTCAGTGTACTGTGTACTAAATTTCTTACCCCTAAAATGTTCTGTTTTATTGGATGTAATTTTTTTTTAACTAAGAGGAAAAAAATGTGAGTAATGGTGTTTTTAAAGAAAATATCAGACTCTGTGATAACCAAGGATGTGCTCAAGTGGCATGAATACTTCAGTTCCAGATGGGTCAGCTTTAGGGGTCAAGTTGTGAAGAGAAAGCCATCACACACACTTCATCAACACCGTGGAATGAGAGACCAGTGCATTTACTGAGCAATGGATTTCCAGTGAGCGTATAAACTAATTGGTGGATGAACATGCCCCAGGAGCAATGATTTTAAGGTCATAGCAGGCTCAGTGAATTGTGCTGACTTACACTGTGTCTCAGTGATAGCTGATCTTACCAATGGGCAGTTTAGAGGCATTCAAGCCTGAGCTCTTTTCCATGTGCCTTGAATGGCATGTCAGCGGTCACTGTTTCTGACATCCTTTATATTTGTCCAGTCAGCTCTAAATCTTTAGGTTGGGCTTCAGCATACTCAGGAAAGAAAGGAGAGAAGTGATTATTTTCAGTCATTGAATTCTGAAGATCTTAGTGTTAATTATGCCAAACACGGTTCGTTCATCAACAAACTAGAAATGTTAGAGAGAAGAGAGAGGGAACTGATATTTTTGGTGATAAAAGTATCCTAATTATAACTTTCTATTGCTTGGCTTTTATTTATTTTTTCTCAATAGCTCTGTATTCCCTCTTAAAATATTAGTTAATTAGTAAATACTATTTTTTGTTTGACATGTAAAAATTCAGAAGGTGAAAAATTGCTGTAACATTATTCAAGAAATTAAGTAGTGGACATGTCAGTCATATATCTCTTCCCCGCTAGTGGTACATTGTTTCTCACAATTCTGCAGCATTTTCTTTTGTTTTGGATAAATGTTTATTCATTCTTTGTCTACTATGAGTGCAAAGCAGAACCATGCAGAGGTCCTTTTAAATTTGCAATCAATTAAGAAATGCTACAGTAGCTCTAATTCCCCTTTTTTGTCTGGGAGAGGAAAAGCTATTTTGTTTTATGATAGTTAAGACTTTTCTAAGAGTGTTTTCTTTGATATTAATAGTAATTAAATAGTTTTAAAATAACTGTTAATTTTTAGGTAAAATTCAGCAGAGAATCTATTCAGCTTTGTCTATGAGCATGGACATGTGTTCAGTGATCCTCATCAAATAAAAATAAAAATAAGAGTTAACAGGCTTTTGCCCTTAGCACTTAAAATCTAATAATGACAATGCTCATATAAAATAATTTTTAATGTAATCTTTTAGGAGAGTTTAAGTACAATGGTTTAGTCTTAAGTAATGGTGTATATATTTATACATACATGTGTGCCTGTGAATTGGGTAGTATGTACAAATATGTGCATTCCTTGAGAATGTGGACCTGAAATAACATTATTATTTTTTGAAACAAACAATTTATCTTCTTTAGTGTGTAAATATATGGGAATCTTCATCCAGTAAGCGACAGTTGGGTATTCATCAGAATTATTTTTAAGACAGACAGAAGCTTGTTTCCATCATTGGATGTAAATAGTGTGATTTAGTATGGAAAATAAAGTAAAGGAAATTAATTGCTATGACCTTCCCATACAACCTTTGTTTTCCTCAAAGCTCCCTCTTTATCCAGAAGGGAAGTGACCACAGACATTCCTACCAGTATGAGTTAGAACAAGCAGCAGGACTGGTTGATAGTCTGGTACACGCAATTTAAACTTTGGAAAAATGATGTACTTGGCATTTACTTAAATATCAGTATGCAAATGTATTCCCACTTGTATACCTGTATAGAACTCTATGCCATTTAATGTAACTCCAGATTTACAGGATTCAGGTTTAGTTCAGCAAGTCACAGAACCTTTTAAATAGATTATATTTAGTTAACAGAGACCTTGAATATTCTTGACAGTTCTCCTTGGATTAACGGAAAACAGTCAGAGTTAGGATCAAATATGGAATTAGTTTATAACCTTGCTATGTGTATTAAAGGAAGCAATATTGTAATTAAAATGCAGATAAACATTGTGGAAATCTCACATAACTGTAATAGGATGTTCTCATCATATGATTTTGCTTCATTATACTCTATTACTTTATCCTCTTGCTGTACATCTGCAGCTGGTTTGTTGGAGGATATCAATATTCAATTACAAAAATTAAGTAATCAAATCAAATTTATTTTGTATTTTTTTTACAGTGACATTTAAAATAAATACTATTTCTGAGCAGAGCCAGAGCACAACTGCTTCAATAACTCAAAAGACAAATTTCAGATTTTGGCTATTATGATAATTCTCTGGTAAACTTGTTAAAATATTGATGATTTTGCATCAGTCTCACTATATTAAGAACATTTTAATGTAATGTGGCAAAATGAGAAGAATTATGACTAACAATCTCTTCCGTATTCTTAACTTTTCAGCTAAGTAAAATGAGACTGTTTTTCTCTATGTTATGTATTATACGCCATTTTAACTTTTGGTTTTGTAGTACTACCATGTCTTGTTGTTTAAAAACAACAACAACAATAAACCAACATCTGTGCGGGTATGACTTTTCTGTGTGATGTGATGATGACAAAACTAGACCAGGTTGCTCTAAGCCCCATCCAGCCTGGCCTGGAACACTTTGAGGAATGGGGGATCCACAACTTCCCTGGGCAATCTGTTCCATTGCTTCACCACTCTCACAGTAAAGAATTTTTTCCCAATATCTTATCTAAACCTGCTCTTCTTTAGTAGAATCCATTCCCCCTTATCCTGTCACTATGTGCCCTTGTAAATAGACTTGCCCCGTCTTTGCTGTGAGTTCCTGGAAGACTGCAATTAGGTCACCCTGAAGCCTTCTCTTTCCCCAGGCTGCACAATCCTCATAGATGCTTTGTCCCTCCAATCATCTTGGTGGCCTCCTCTGGGCTCACTCCAAGAGGCTGATGTTCTTCCTATTCTGGGGACCCCTGAGCTGGATGCAGCACTGCAGGAGGGGTCTCACCAGAGCAGAGCAGGGGGGCAGAATCACCTTCCTTGGCCTTCTTTGGATGGTGTATATTGTCAAGAAGAATGTGAAGCATTCTATGGAAATCTCTAAATAAGAACCTGGTCATGTCATGGGACAATACTTCACTAAGGGGTAGAGCATTTTTTGAGGAAGTTATTTACCAAGAAGAGAGAAGCATGACCTATGGTATAGAAGTCTATGGAGAGATTGAAGGGTGAAAATAGAGAAAAAACTTCTTTCATTGTAAGCAAACAAAAGGTATTGGTGTGATGATAAATGCTGTTCTTGTAGTAAGGAAAATACTGTAAAGGGGTGATTGATAAAGAAGCAAAGGAGTATTAATAGAGTAAACAGAGTGACTTGAGCCAAAAAGAGAAGATGGATGGAGTTGTAGCCAGAAATGGGGCAAGTAGAGTGGTGTGGTAGGACACAGCATGAATAGTAATTGTTCATATAGTTACTGTATTTGAGAAACTCCGATCTTACATTACAATATGTCCCTTACCTTGACTATTCCCTCCTCTTTTCTTCTCTTTAAATTATGTATTTTTTTATATTTCTTTTCTCAGGTGCCAATATTTGGAACAGTTTCTAACTTCTGTGTGCATTTTAAAGATGTCTCTTTTTTCTCGCTTGTGGTTTTTTCATTCCAAGTTTGATGTTCATTTATTTTTACTGATCATCATTGGTACTATCTTAATGTCAGTTTCCAAAGGCTTCCCTGTTATGTCACAGAGCACACTGTGGGAACAGATGTGATCACAGTGTTTTCAGTGGTGAATAGAATTCCACGGTTAACATGTGCTGCCATTTTGGAAGGAGCTACATGCAATCACAGAAAATACTACAAGAGGTAAATTGATAGGATCTCAGAGCCTGAGAGGTATCTGTCTCCAGGTTATATTGGAAAATAGGAGGAGAAATTAAAATATTGTGTCTTAATGTAATTAACTGATAATATTATAATTTAAATAAATCCTTAATTTTTATTTTATTGCAGTCTTCTGTGCAAAAATGTTAATATAATTTAAAGACAGCATTTGCTAAAAGACAAAGACCAACTTAAGATAGAATTGTAAGAATTCTTTTAAATGCCAAAGGCAAAACTGGAAATAATTTATAAACAATTTTATTCTGTGCTTAGAAATCTAAGTGCTTTTCTGTCTTACCTTGTTCTTAGGAAATCATGTCACCCAGTGCTATGTCCCACATTATATAATCTTTCATTTTATCTTTTCATTCTATCAAGGCATAGCATACCTAGCTAATCCATCAGAAATCCTTTTCCTTATCAGTCACTCAAGAATGGTTATACAGTGTGAATGTACAGTGTGAAAGCATTAGACATCTCTTACCTTCCTAAACTAGAGAATACTTAGGAGAATAGTTTTTTGTGTTTGAGCATGCCTTGTCTGTATGTCAGCTTCATTGTTTGCTTTCCTGTGTATTGCTTTTTCCAAAATTTATATATCCTTTTTTTAATTGTCATACCTTTCTCTACTATTTTCTCAAAATTTTTGGACATTCCTATCTTCCTTTATTGTTTCTTCAGTGTAGTGATTTAGCAACACAATCTACATTTTCTGTCATTTAAGATAATTTCCA